CCTACACGACTCTGCATGGTAGGAGGATGTTCAGAGATGAGCATGTTATCTCATAGGGGTACAGACATACAAGCAGGTCATCTTTAACCACCTTGAGCATTCTAATTCCACTAATTTCACCAAGGACTGAAGATGCCCCAAACCCCTCTCTATCACATCAGCTATTCAGCTGCCCAAAGGAGGTAGGGCTATTTTGACTCTTAGGGTTGGAAAGAGGGAACAGAACAAGAGACCAAGCCAAGTAAAGAAACCATAACCTTTTCCTTACTGAGTGACACGCTCACACTTAGGGGAGAAGAGAGCTCAAAGACCAACATGAGCTGCTCTGCAGGAAAGTACAAGCAGTTCCCAATGCAGGTAGCTGTCACACACAGCACCCTTAAATGTAACTTCTCCCAGTGAACTTCCCTCCCCAAATGCCAGATCTTTACTTAGATGTTTCTACACAAACCTTCCACTTTTTAAGCCTTGTTCACCAAAAGTTTCCACCACATGAACAATATGAGACTGATGGGAACTTGGCTCAACTTTTATTCTTGTTACTGAACGCATGTAAAGAAAATTACTGATGTTAGAAATAAGCAATGGCAGCAAGTTCAAGGGGGATTTTGCTTTTAAAGCTGGTTTTCAGCCTGAGAGCACCCCTGTAGCAGACCCTCAGCTGCAGAGCTCCTGGCATTAGGAGTGAAAGGTGGGCTGCTGCTGCAAGAGGGGAGAACAGGGCTTGGTGGGCTCAGACAAAGCAGCCATACCCAAAATCCCATTGCAAAGAGATGCTGTTCAGGCCAGGCTTTAATAGTCCACACCCCACCAATTCTTCCTAAGTCCTGACCACAGAGGAAGGCTTTCAAGTAAATCCCATTCTCCCTGCCAGAGACGGGGATGCTATAAGGCTATTTGATGGAGGAACAGCAGGGATTTAGGGTGGCTTATGGGGTTTCTGATCTTCTGGCACCATCTAGTGGCTCACCCACACAAGAGAAGGTGATTTTTTTATTATTATTATTTGTTTTATAGGTGAAAACCACCTTCTCTTAAATTTCTAACTCTCTACCCAGCCCCAGGAGAAGAGGATTTGAGGAACCTCACACATCTCAAGCCTGGGTCCACAGCATCAGCCTGACAAAGCAATGTCCACAAAAGAGGTTCTGCAATTTTTCCAGGAAAATCTAGCTAGTGTTTATTTCGTAGGGTTTCCATCCCCTTCCCAAATCCCAGTGGGTGACACTGCACTATCAGGCTTCGATCAGGGTACAGATGAAGGCAGATGCTCTGCTACAGAGAAAAGAAGGGGTGGGATGGCAACACGACACAACTCACAGACCCACTGACAGAAGCAACACAGAGGAACCACAAGGAGGCAAAGACATTAAAGTATTAGGAAAAAAAAAAATATTTTTCTTCTGTCATTATCATCTAAGCTGAGCCACCCTGACCTGGGAGGTGACCATTTTTACCCTTAGTGTCCCTTGCAGGCAGATCCCACTAAGGTCAATGTGGTTGCAAGTGCATAGGATCTCACAGGATAGGACCCTCCCTTAAACTATAATCAGGACCAAAACATATTGCTACAACAAGTCTTTTCTTTGCCCGCATCATCAGGATTTTCAGCATCAGGCTGGGCTACTTGGCCAAAACGCATGATGATCTCTTGCCCATAGGTCCTAGACATCCCATGGATGGCATGGGCTGTTTTGAGGCACAGACAGCCCAGCCTCAAAGGGGTGCAGGGACCAAGGGCTTTTCTCCTCCTACTGAGAGGAGCAACCACTGCTCTCTGCTCCCCATCTCGCATGGTGGCTGCGGTCAGACCCAGGGTGGTTAAATATACACAAGGGGCCGATGACTCCTCTCACAGGGGTGCATTGCTCTGATTGAACAAGCTAGGAGAGGTTGACCCCATTTGTCAGGGGTACTTTGAAATACCCTCTTAGAAGAGCCACCAGTACATTTAATCGCAATGCAACTCCAACACCATACAAAATACTCTCTGCTGTGCTCAGTAGACTTTGGGTGTCCAGAAAGCTTGTTTAATAGAAAATAGCACCTCTCCTACCCCCTTGGACTCTGTTGTGATCGGCCACGTTTAGGACAGCAGTGTGCAAAAAGGCCAGACAGACAGCAGGTAGGTCTTGCTCTGGGAGGTTGGCATCAAAGTGGACCAGACGGACACAGGGTGGGAACAGACTAAAAAATACTGGGACAACAACACAGAGACAGCATACACCATGTTAGGGCCACAACGGGACCCTTTGGTTTGGAAGGGAGGACTAAATGGCAGGGAAAGGGAGAAGAGCAGGTCAGGGAGAAGATGGGGTTGATTGGTACTGAGGTGATAACATGGAGCAAGCAGAGCCAAGCCAGTTGCAATCACAGAGTCCCCATCCTGCGACCGCTCTTGCCTAAAGCTTGCCCAGCTCCTCCATGCCTGTCTTCTCCACATCCATGAGCCAGGAAGCAAGGGGTAGGCAAGAACGGGAAAACACCCAACCTCCCTGTACCCATAGAAGGGCTCAGCCCGGCCCCATAGCCAGGTCCTGTTTTGGGGAGATGCCGCGAGGATGTAATGCTGCAAGTCCAAGGTACCTCGTGGAGCAGGCAATATTTGCAGGTGGCCAACCCCAACCCCTGAGGTGGTAGGTGGACAGAGGGAGAGGGGGCAGATAAGCGCAGATAGGGAAGTAGCCAAGTCCTCAGAAATACAACCCCATGGCACACGGTGGAAGGAATGGAGAAGGTAACACGCGAAGAGTTTGGTCCGAGTACGGACACGGTGAAGGCTTTACTGCAGAAAAGCAACAGCGCTTCCCTCCAAGGGGACAAGAACAACTGGTGACAAAACAGCCAATACAAGGAGAAATCTGGGTTTCCAATTGATAACACTTCAAATCCAGCATCCCAGGCTCTTTTCCTTCCTGGGTGCAACGCTATTTATTTTCACACTGCATTTCCAGTTTCGCTGTGGTGTAACTGGGAAGAGACACCTGAAGGATCCCAAGGTCCGAGTGCAACAATTGATGAGACAAACCTTCCCAGCTATTAGCCTTATTAATTCATTCCCAGGGCTAGAGAGGCACTACTTTATATAAATTGAACAGGTTACATTATTTTCTTTAGAAATGGCCAATTTAGAAGAGCTTGGTCACAAAAACCTCTGGTAAATGCAGGAAGGAAGGGGATATTTTACATGGCAGTATTTCCATGGAAAAATCATTACATCCACTGGGAATTTCCAAATTACAACATACTGCAGGACCTCAAAATAGGGCTGTTTTAAAAAGGCAGCGACTCAGATCATTGTAACAGAAGGTCAGATTGCCTTCAAAACATCCACCGGCTTCAGCATCAGGCTCCCGTGGCGCTCATGGCTATGGACTATGCAATGTTCAGACCCTTATGGTCCCCCTGCGAAGCCAGATGTTTGAAAGCATCATGAAAAACTGCGTACTGCCCTGTCCATCTGCAGTGAAGCCATAGCAGATAGGGAGAAAGAAAGAGAGAAAGGAAGGTTGAATGAAAAAGAGAAAGAGGAGGAAAGCACCAGAATTACCTGATCATGTGATAGCTGTGAGATGCCAGAATGCAGCAGAGAGAGAAAGAGGAGGAACATGCACAACAGTCAGAGCAGTAAGAAAATAAACAAGGCAAAGAGGCAAAAAAAAAAGATCAGTTAGAAGTCATCACAGTTGGTATTTCCCCTCCGGAGAGGCTGCCACGATCCTGTCACCAAGGCTGAAGCAGAACAGCAGGAGCAATCCCTACCCGCAGCTACGGAGGAGAGACAAGCCATGCGTAGGAGAGAGGACGAGCACATCGAAGCGGTGGCTCTGTTCCCACCCACCCCCTCGTCCTTGCATGAAGGAAGCAGCTCTGTTTTGCCCCAAAAAGGACTTGGGGGAAAAAAAAACCACAAACAAACAAACCAACCAAACAAAAAAACCCAACCATGACACTGAAGGCCAAATGCCAAGCCCCGTTTCCCAGAGCTGAATCACATCAGCAGGTAGTAGTTGGGCAATTCTGCTGCAATTTGTTTTTACTATATCCTCAATGCTGCTACCAATGCTTTCATGTGGTGGAGAAACTGGAACGGCAGAGAAATGGGTCTCTCCTGCACAAAGTTCTTGGAAGAGCAAGCCTTCTGCTCCAGAAAGTCCAACTTCTGGTGCTAGAGTTTCTCCTTCTTCCTTCTACTGACTTGGGGTTGAGTTGTTCCAAGAGAGAGATCCAGAAGACGACATATGACCCTGCTATGATGGGCCCCACGTGGCCAGACCTCTCCAAGCAACTGCCCTTCTATGTCAGGTCCAGAGGCTGGGCACGTAGCTCAGGCTGATGGACCCTGGGGAAAGCTGGCGGCAGTTTCCAGCTCTTCTCACCTGTATCACACATTGAGGGTGGAAGAGAAATCCTGCAATAACGCTTTCCTTCCTTACCCTGCTTCCTCTTGTCCTACTCCATCAAACCTCTTCCAAACTGGAAGAGATTCAGTCTGTGTGGAGAAGAGTCCAGCTTTTGCAAAGTTTACGTAGCTGTGTCTTCTCCCTCTCTCCAAGCATGCATCATTTCACACTGCTCTGGGAGCTATAGTTCCTGTTCAGCAGGTCGAATCATTTTAATTTCTTCAGCTGTGGTCTCCTGGGTCTGATTCAGGAAAGACTTCTAAAACTAACTTTGGGAGATAATGCAAGAGACTGCAAATATCTCATCAGCTTGGCCTTCAAATTCTGCTCTTCAGAGAGGTCAGTCCCTGCCTCCAGACTCCTCCATGCATTTCAGTATCTGACAGAGAAATACACGGTCTAAAGAGCAGGGACATCTCTTATTAAACTCACTGATGAATCTGAGGGAATGGAGGAAGCTTCCAGACAACACACACACACGCTGCTCCTCTGGAGGAAAGGTTTAATTGGCCACAATTCAGATCACAAGACTTCTCAGAAAAATTTTAATCTCATCTTGGTCAGTGGTTTCATTGACTGTTGGGAAATCTAAACTGATAGGAGATTTTTTTAATCTGCTGCTCACTCCATTATCCCATGCTGGAATTGGGGACCAGCTGGGCACAGGTCTACCAGTGTGGGACTGTGCAAGTCATTAATTTAGACACAATTATAAACAGATCCAACATGTGGCCTGAAGTCAAATCCATAGCGGGTGCTGGCAGGAGCAAGAACCTACTGTAACATGGTAAAAATACCTGGGTAATTATGCACCGAGGGGAAGGAAAGTGATTGCTGCAAGCAGATGATCTGGGACAACGCGACAGCAAAATCACTAGCTCATGAGGCTGAAGCAAATTAAACTGCAGCTCCTAACACGAGGGCATTTCGGATATCAAGGGGGAAGGAAAGCGTAGGTCCCCTGATGTCTCTAGGACAGTCGTTTGTGCATGCCAAAGCAGATGAGATTATAGAGGCAGGGGATGAGGGGATGCAATTTCAGAATGACACATTTTCCCAGGAGAAGGCTGCTGCTTCTCGCTGGAGGGAGCGCACCTCTCGCTGAGCTCACTTTTTCCCAGAGAGAGGTATTACGCTGTCACCACTGACAGCTAAAATACCTCCTAGCAGGAAAAGGCACATCACCAGGAGGACACCGTGGTTTCCTCCAGTGTAATCAAAAGGAAGGCAGCTCAGCCAACTCTGCCATTAGGAAGTTGATTTACCTCCTCCTGATTTATCAGTGTCTTAACTTGCTCTGCTCCTAAGTTTTATGCTCCACGTTTGTTTTCAGGGACCCTGGCTAACAGCGAGGCTTCTGCCATGCCCTCATCAGATCCTTGCTCTCCCTTTTCTTTGGAAAAATGGAGAGACTTTCTCTATGCACCAAACTAAGCAACTGATTTGATTTGCTAAATCATATTTCTATTTTTTCATCCAAAAGGGGAACAAACTGATTTAAGAAACCTAAAACATTTTCTTTTTGAAGACTGTAATGGTGGAATCTCAAAACATTTCCTCTTCTTCCTTTAAAGCATTTTAACCTCTTTCTCAGTGTCCATTTCCCTGAAGCATTTACAGTTTCTCTCCCACATGCATTTATGAGCGGAGCAAGGCGTCTATCGCTACTATTTTGAGATCTCTCATTCTTCTTAAAAAGTAGCGACTACATCCAATTCAATGTCACATCTCGGTCTTTGTAAGGATTTTTTAATAAACAGTTTCCCTGCTATTGCAATCCAAGCGCCTTAGGAGCACGGTGCTCCTCTCTCCCATCTCCACCCCACGCTCTGAACAAAAACACACGCCACAAACACATGGGAGTCAAGCTGTAACAATGCTACTTACTTCTGGAATATAAAAACTCCTACAATTACAATAAATGAAATGAGATCAGACGTGATCCAGATTAGGTGGTACTCGTCTGGAGGCTGGAAGACAAAAAACAGAAGCAGACCTTAAACCTTCTGGTTTGTACAATTGCAGAAAGACCACACATTGCTAAAGTTACCACCAGGGCAGAAAGAAGAGCACGGAGCTGCAGGGGTTGCACATAAATCACAACGTTTATGACATTTCTAATGCTAGCCTGTCACCCAAAATGACGTTACCAGGAAAAACTGCAAACGGGAATAATTTTAAACTCTCCCTCCTTTCATGTGCTGACATTTTCTCAGAGCTTTGAGGGCTGAAAGTTTCCTATCTCAGCTGTACCTCAAGATGAGGTTAAGATGCTGTTTGGAAATCCAAGTCTGGGAAAACACAGAACTATATACACATTGCACATGAGACACGTGGGGTCCATTTTCAGTGCTAATGTTAGCTGTTTCGCTAACATGTTCCCCATGCTATACTTCTCAATTTCTGTCCTTTGAGGCACTGGTAGCTCTGGCTCCATTAGCCAGTCTAAGTGGCTGGGGTCATCACACCAGCTAAAACCAGCTAAACCCATCGTCTGAACCCAGCACAGAAGCACACTACTTCCCGTTGATTTTTGTGCTGCCCAGGAAAGAGCAACACTAGCAAAGACAAGAAAGTAAAGTGATAATAATAATCAGATCCTGATGATGCTCAGAAGGCACCTACCGAGGACAGCCACCAGTGACGCTAACGAATTTCTCCTACCCCAAACTGGTTCCAACCAGGAAAAAGTTGCTGATTTCACACCAGAAAGATCCATCACAACCACCAACACCATCATTAATACACACAAGTAACATTTCATTAGATAAATAGAATACCTAATGTATAGAGACGAGTTCTTGCAATGGTAGTGTGACATGGATAAAACCAGTTGGGAGTCATCAACTCTGCTACCTCTGTCTCCCAGCAGAGGACAACTTGTTTTTCTGTTCAGTGACTCTCTGCGTATCTCAATTTAGCTCATGAAAGTGCACCACAGAATTAGCAGGGCGATGCTTTATTAGCCAATGCTTCTGATGAAGATTAAATCCTTGTATTTTTCAGCTTCTTTACAGAAGGGTGACATTTAATGTTACATTTGCTGCATCTATTAAGACCAACAGACACAAAACTGACATTTCCCATTTTCTTGGCATGAGAGCGCCATCATAACTACGTATTTTGAATGAAAAGTCAAGAGTCTTCTAATTTAGAACAAAATCTACACATATAAATTTTCCATTTATGCAAGTGTTGGTATTCTACAATTGAAGACCCAAAACAGTAGGTTTTCCTGTGGGGCAAAAGTTACATTTCCTTTTTTATAAACTTTACCCAAAATAAGTCCTACTTCTGAAATCCTCACATTTGCAGGCCATCAAGCCTTCAGTGTAATTGGGCAGAGAGCAACTCTGGCTCTGAAGGAGACTCCCAAAAATGCAGAGGGGGGTGCCACACTGGGCTCCTGCTTTAAGGACATCAAGGTTGAGGCTGAACCCCAGCTCAACCTCCTTGAAGCCCTCCTCCAGATGTCATGTCTGATGGCCTCCATTCTTCTAGTGGCTTTCCATCAACAGTAGAGGAGAGACTATCACTTTTCCTTCTTTTTCTTTTTTTCCTCCTTTTAAGTGAAACACATGTTAAAGGTATTTTTACAATTGCAAATGGCCCCTGTGTGAATGGGGCAGAACAGATTTGCACTGTTCAGGTGGCAAAAATGCCCAGCAAAGTCCCTGAGGGCACTGGGCAGCCAGAGCCTGGCTCCCAAGCCATCTACCCATGGGGCAGAGGGGGCTCAGATGGCAAAGCTGGTTAGATTACATCACCCAGGCCCTTCAATACACAGGAAATAAAGGGATTTTTAGGCTGCCAGTGATATAAGAGTGTGCACTCACAGCAGAGCTGGAAATCCAGCGGATGGAAGAGCCCTTGGAGGAGGGCTCCAAGTAGCAGCAAAGAAGCTTTTGGAGTAAAAAGCTGCCAGCTGTAGTGGAAGACAGATGTTTGCAGCAGCACAATTCAGACGATGATAAACTCTGTCAAATTCAGTCTTTATAAAACCATTTCCAATCCTCTAGCTTCAGCACACACCGGTGTGAATTTGTGTAGTCGGACACAAGCAGTAGGTTAAGCTAAGGCTAAGAACATCATGCACAGATGTTCATCCATCTAGGCAGTCGTCTTGAGGTCATACCTCCAGCTAAAAATGCAGATAATTCATTAATGTTAAAATTCTTCTTGTGCTCGTCTTATTCTCCCCTTTCCGAAGCAGATCTGCCAGAGTAGCAGGTAAAACAGCTGCCTCCTGTCCTACCCTAACAGGATTTGTCATCAGAAAATAGCCCTTCCATCACATGCACTTACACCACCACAGCTGAGCTCTTGTTCTGGGAATACTTTGATGCAACTATTTCATCATTTTCCCTCCACTCCAACATGAATATTTATGTTTGGTTTGGACAATCGAAGTGCTAGGGGAGTTTTCAGAGAGTTTACTGGCTAACATGATGGATAAGGGGGCTACCTTTGGTCTCTGGTTGTTTCTTGTCCAGCAATGGGGTAGCCAAAGGTAATACCTGCCCTCATCTGGTATTAAAAATAGGCAAAAAAGCTAGTTTTGAAGCCTGCCTGGAACACAGAAGCCAGGTTTGCTGGTTCACCTGTGTGCCTGCTTCTCCTACAACAGCTGCTCAGCAGGTCTGAAAAGGTATTTTTCTACTGGAGGAAAATGGAAAAAATCATGCGGGTTAAAAATAGGGCATGCGACACAACCTCCAAGGCTCCCAAGCCCTGTATGAGGGGAGACAAGGCCAACTGAAGGAAGGATTGTGCAAGAGGAGCATCGATCCGTTACTATCTCAGGAATCAGGTGTACAGAGGGGGAAATCCCTCAAGCCCAACAGCATGTTGAACCCAACCAAACCTTCCTGGAGAAAGCCACTAGACATAGGGCTGCAGTGGTCAATGGCCATCTCTTCACCCCTCCACTGCATCCCCTCCTTCCAGGGGATCACAGCACCTTCCCAGGCATCCTGCTTACCATTAGCCAGATGGGAAAAGGCACCTTGCGAAGGACGTGGGAGCTGTCAGAGGTGACCGACTGGACACCGGCGCACCACAGGATGGAGTATAGCCAGGGCTCGTTCACAGTGTAGAGATTCACACTCAGGTTCGCCATGGCGTAGTCCCTGCCAGGAGACAGACAGGGTGAGACGTGAGTTCCCCAGCAAACATCAGACCCTCATCTCCAAGAGGAGAGCTCTTGTCATCAGCCACCGCTGTAATCACAGCTAGATTTATTAGGTTTGAATTGTATGAAATAGGGTTTTTTAACAGGGCACGGTCACTTCGTAAGCAACCCCAGGGCACTGCAATCAAATGGTTTGAACTTGAAAGCTTTCTTCACCTCTTGAATGCTATCTGACCCAGGCCAGTGCCCATCTCAGATACTTCCTCATGAATGATGGGCACATTATGTTTTTCTAACAACCACCTCATCATGTTGATGTAAAATTAACATCTGGCTCAGATGCCTGTAACACTTCATAGGCAATTTACTTAATTAAAAACTGACAGACTGCATTTCCAACATCAATTCCTACACCTCCCATGCCCTTGTTTTGGGGACGGTCACAGAGTTACAGCTTCCAGTCTCCTGAGGTCATTTTCCAAGAAGCTAAAACTGCAAGCTGGGGTACAGGAGCTGCCAGCAGCAAACCAAGCACTGATAGTGGACTCCCTGTACCCATACGATTTGCATAAATTGCTCTGTTTCCTTATCTACGAAGCAGAAGCATCACTAATCTCCCTTGCATGGGCAGCACAGAGATTAATCCTTGCAATTCATTATCAGCAAAGCGCTTTGAGGTTGAAGACCAGTGTACAAGATGCGGACATCTCAAAGCTCACAACATGATCAAGCTGCTCCAAAGGCTAAGAGATTCTCAAGGGCAGAGGTGGTTGCAGCAATGTTACATCCAGATGCTGATTTTTTGGGAGGACTGAGGAAACTCTGTTATACCAGAGCTTGTTGAGCCTGCTCTGCCTCGTGCTGCAGGACTGCACCAACATTTGACTAGGCACCACATTCAAGAAACATTCAGGTGGCAGATCTGATTTTGGAGACAACTGAGGTGGGATTGGTGAGAGATTGGGGCTGATGAGCTGGGATAGATGAGAGAGTTGGCATATGGTCCTCTTCATGAGAGCAAGTAGGGCAGGGGAAAAAAACAGGCAGGAATTCTCCTGCAGGTAAAGCACAGACTTGGTTTTAAGGATGAGCTACTAGACCAATTGCTGGCAGCCATGGAATTACTAGATTACGCTAAATAGGACCACACTCTCAAACAGCTGAGGGCTCAGCTCTTCCCTACTCCCAGCCCAAATGCATAGCAAGACAAATCCTTTGAAGATACTTTTCTTCTGCAAACTCATTTCATTTTCAAGTATTTCTTTGGGGAAAAAAAAATAAATTAAACTCCAGAAAAAAAGAAAAGCTCTACTAGAGACAATCCGCCCTTTCCAAGAAGGGGGCAAAGCTGGGAGCTAACACGTTGCACGGTTCAAATACAGGCTCAAGCATGAGGAGAGGAACCCCACACTGTGCCAGTGTCATTAAAGAGGAGACCTGACCAGTCTAAATAGCTGACAAAAGACAGCAATGAAACGGGTGAATTCTCTGCAAAGAGAAATTTCTGAAAGCATATCCAGACTTTGGACTAATCAAAATTCTGTGGTAGCAGCTCTGTAGCAGATGAACAGAAGCAAAAGGCAGCTGCTAATGAGGATGAAACAGCACTTGGAGGTTCTCAGTGTGAAAAGCCTTCACTTTTTCCAGAGCTGACAGCATAATAAGAATCAGACAATTTCATATTATTTGTATTTCAAAAAGGATCATCATATACTGAATTAGCATGTAGAGTTATTAGAGTCAGCTGTTCACTCCTGGGAACAGCCTGGATTCTGGGCAACGGGTAGGGACAAGCTTGCACAGCTCAATCTTTCAAAAGCAAGTCCATCCAAAAAAAGACCTCTATGCAGATAATATGGGGTGATCAGAAAAGATGCTTCTGGGCCAGGGATGCACGGAGCTGTGGACACCCACCGCGGAGCACGCGGGCTATCACTCGGCGTTCAGAGTACTGTACCTGACATCCTCGTTCGTGACCTTGGTGTAACGCAGGTTGAGCTTCATGATGCCCTTCTCCCTCATGCGCTCTGCATCCAGCTTGAGGCCAGAAGTCTGCTGGAAACCTGGTGCAATCTGTCTGACCAGCTGCCTCTCCGTGTCTGGCAGCCACATCACCTGCGGAGGGAGCGAGACAGAGGATGGCTACGGCAAAGACGATTCACAAAGCTGGTGACACAAGACAGCCAGTTTACACCAACCCAGAAGCAAACATCACTCGACAGACTGCCTCGTTTGTCATACAAATTGTCTAGGAGACACTTACAGTCTCCCACATCTCTGTTCAAATGCATTTCAGGATCGTCTGCAAGCCCAGAGGGTTGTAACACACAAAATCTTAGAGGTGAAAGGGGTCGAGATACAAAGGGATCAGGCCAAGTGCTCATGAGAAGAGACATGGTGTATCCTTGAAAACCTGCCCTCCCTGCCCAGTTCAGGGCACGCATAGAACTAAGGACATGAGGCTAAAACTGGCAGTGCAGACAGGATGCACAGGAGAAGCCTCTCATGATCCCATGGCTCAGATTAGTTTTATTCACCCTCTTATCAGGGCTAAATCTACTCCAGCCTAGGACAAGGATTTCCCTAAGTTCATACCAGGCTTTGAAAGCATGACAAATTAATTACTGTTTACATCTGGCAGCTGAGCACGTTAAGTGGATGGAGGAACCAAGCTGGGCAGTTTTATGGCTTGTGCCATGCAGAGGCGGGGCCCAACCAGACGATCTCAGCAGTACCACTGGGCATTGCATTGCTTTAACCCATGTTTAACAACTCAGTGGCACTCATCTACCAAAGCATCGGAGCAGTAGAGAAACAGCCATATGCATTTTCAATAGGGATCTATAAAATCCAGGTGAGAAATATCACTTTACAGTCATCTACGTTTTGACTATTTTTCTCCTGCTCTGCATCCTAATATCCAAGGAGGAGCCAGCATGGTCCTCCTTTGGATCTAGCCAAGCTGGAAGAGGCTTGTGGATAGCAATGTCACTGCAGCCACAATTGGTAATTGGGTGGCAGTGTCAGTCATTAGAAGCACAGATGTGAGTTAAAAATAGCTCCATTCCCTCCTGGACCCATCGCTGCACAAGTCAATGCTGAACTTGCCTGTGCATACAGATGTACCTAATTGGTACAGATGAAATACCTGAACTGCTAGTGATGTAGTCAGTCCACTTGCTAACCTCACCATACTATTTTCAACCAGTCCACATTCAAAAGAGAGCGCAGGACAAGTGAATGGACCAGATTTCCTTCCCAAGACAGCTCAAGAAGAGAAGTTTTAGAAGTGACACCCCAAGTCCCCAGGTCTGGGTGCCCTTCTGACACATGAGAAGTGGTGCTCTCCCTCCAGGAGATGATTGCATCAGAGGGAGCTCCTGGTGGGCTAGATGAAGATCTATACCTCATGATCAGAGATATCACAGCTAACAAGGCTGGCTGGGCTCTGACTGCAACAGCACAGACCTGGAAATTAAAATGCTTGGCATAACCCAGCAAGGACAATTCTGGAGCAGAAATGAAAGTCTGGAAGAGATCTCTGCGTACACATAGACCTGCAGGTACACCAACCTCCTTTTGCTGAAAACCCCTTATCTCCAGGACACCCATTTCTCCTCCAGGCAGAAGCTGACTCTAGGCCAAAACAGTTGCTCAGGCCAGGGAGAAGGATTATTTAAAGCCAAGGTGTCAGAGGGAGAGGAATGGCTCTCTGCTGCTCGCAGCTGGCCTTCCGGTCTCAGCTTCTTCTCCCGTGTCCAAGGCTCTTGTTGAATCTCTTGGTCAGAAGGGACCTCAGATCTCTACTCCAACACAAACCAGGGCCACCACTGATTTCAAACAAGGTGCTCACAGCTTTGTTTAGTTGCATCTTGAAAAGCTCCAAGGATGGAGATCCCTCCACTTTCCTGGCCTCTCTCAACACTTGCGTGACCTCACAGGGAAAACTAGTTTCCCTGTATCCAGCAAAAAGCTCTCCTGTTCCAATTTGTGACAATTTTCTCCATCCTCCTGACACAGAGGTTGGGTCTAACTTCTCAGCAACCTCCTTGCTGGTACTGGAGAGCTGCTATTAGATCTCTCAAGTCTTGTCTTTTCCAGGATGAAGAGACTTAGTTCCCTCAGCCCCTCCTCATATGTTCAGCCCCCTGACCAGTTTGGTGGCCTCTGCAGGACTTGCCCCAGTTTATCAACATCTGTCTTGTACTGGCGAGCCCCCACACTGAACACATGACTGCTAAGGGGAACAATCACTTTCCTCCATCCACCAGCTATTCTACCATGAGTACGGTCCAAGATGCTATGAAGCCTCTGGGACCACCAGCCTGGAGGCACAGTCCTCCCCAGCATGACTTCTCGGCATGAAGTGGCATTTCAAATCGAGTTCAAATGGATCAAATGAGACACTTAAAGGTTCAGGGAACCCACAAAGAGGGCAATTTTTGGAAACACCACCAACTCCACAGAACTCACAGCCTGTTGCCGAATTCCCGATGCCAGGATGGTTTCCAGAGTGATGTTGATGTAAGTGTTGTAGTAGGGATGAGCTGGTGGCAGGTCCTGGAAGTTCAGGATGAGTGATGTGTTGTCCTTGATCACCTCTAGCATATCTGCCAGCTTGCAGACTGACTGGTTGGCAGCTTCCAAGTAGTCAGACCTCGAGAGCGAGCCGGCCGTCCAGAAAGGGTCGTTCTGAAAGCAAAGCACATCCCAGCATTAGTGCCACAAAGCCCAGACTCCTCCAATAAAGGTGAAGACCCTTTTCTATCCCACCTTGGCAACAGTGGGGGATGCTGACAGCTATGCTTGATGACCGTCTTGCAGCTTGCTGAAGCTCTATGCCTCAGTTTCCCTACCCAAGGCAAGGACACAGATTCTTACTGAAAGGCAGGTGTGCTAGGCAGATCACCTCGTTTCCAGGAGGAGAGCAGAGCTCTAGGGCAATAATGTAATTTTCCAAGGTAGTAAGCTTAAAATGTGCTTTCTCACACTATATACATGATCACCAAGGATTCTTCAGAAGCCAAAACTAAAAAAGACTAGATATTAAATAACTAAGAGTGATCAAGAGGAGCTATAGGCTCTTGGAAGAGATGAGCTCCTGACTTACGGATAATTCAGGAATGATTGCTTCAAAGTACATCCCAAAAAGCATCCTTCCAACCGCCGCCTGGCAGCAGTAGTTTCCCTGCACTCCCACATCTGCAAGCCAAGCAAGTTTCTGTGCAGCAGCAATACATAGGACATCCCCCATCACACCACCTCAGACCAGTACAGCAGTGAAGCTATGGTGGTTTCAGGCTTTCACCAAGTGAGCACCCAGAGAGCTTCAAGCAGGCATGGGGAAGTGGTATCTGAGCTTGCATCACTGCAGCAGTGCCTCAGCAAGCCACGTTCAAGCTTGCATGAGTGTGCCAGTGTGCTGCAGCCCTCCTTCCAGGCCACAGCTAATGCTCTCCAAGCAAGTCACGGCCACCGGCCAGAGAACAGCTTGGCAAAAAGAAATCCCACCTGCAACCTGGCTGTATGCTGAAGGATGGGTCGAGCCCATCCCACAGCAAGTCTTCCTCCCGTGGACTTTGAAGGATGAATTTCTTGCTTTTTCTTTGTAAAGACAATTGTGTCCAAAAGTAAATTAAAGAAAAAGGAACAGCATATAACATGCTGTCTTTTCTGTTCACTTTATAATGATGTTCACCCTCCTGGAGGGTCTTGAAGTTCTTTGTGGTGTCAACCAGGCATTAAGGACCCTTCTTCCAGGTGGTGGAAGAGGTACAGAAAGACGTGTCTTTTAGACCAAGTGTAAGTTTAGCAGAGGACAGAAAGAAATCTGGTTTATGGATTCTTGGTCTAGCTGCACTTCAGACCACTCCACTAAGGAGATGGATCTACACCTCTCCATCTTAAAGAGGGTTTAGGCATGAGCTGTCGTCCCATGGCCACAGCTCCAGGACACCCTCTCCATGGCTGTACGCACCTGTAGGAACCACTCTCCGGCATTGAGCTTTTCCAGGTCAGTCCAGTTGAACATGGAGGAGTGCTCGTAGGCCCGCTCTGGAAACACTTCCTCTACATTTGTTGTTCTCCTGAGTGTCTTGTCGTGCATCAGAAATGGCACTCCATCATAGCTGCAAAGACAGTCAGAGGCCCCATTATGAGTGGAGGTGCACAGCCACGTACATAGTACTGGAAAAATACCTGTTCCCACTCCAGCCCCTCTCATGGCTTCAAAATAATTGTGAAGATCTCAACCATCCCCAGCATTCCCAAGACCAGTTGAAATTAGATGCCCTCAGAGGAAAAAAAAATAAAAAAAAAATCTTAACTCAACCATCCCCAGCATTCCCAAGACCAGTTGGAATTAGATGCACTCAGAGGAAAAAAAAAAAAAATCTTAAGATACCTGCTAGATGTCTGCAGTCATTCAAATGCTGACATAATCCTATCCATCCATCCATCCCTCCCTGCTACTACTCCCTTGAAAACGTCTGGAGTCCCATACTCTGGTAGCTTGGACAAGAACATCCACCCCAAATGCTCACACTAACCAGAGCTTTCTGCAATGTCTGTAGCTCCCAATAACATCAGAGGTTTTCCATACCCTGTATACACAGATACATACATAAACTATTCTCATGTTAATAGTAGATAATGAGTATGATTTTTCAAAGGCTCTCAGACCATACGGGAACTTAATGTTCATGGGCTTTCAGCAAAGTGCAACGGCTCCAAGCTACCAAAATTGCTTTGAAATTTGCCTTTACCAATTGAAAATTGGTTTCAGGAAACAGCCATGCTCACATGAGTTAAGTTCATGTATCTTAAAGAAAACCCACCTCTCAGATGAAACTGAATAGCCAAATGCATGCCCTGTGGTCTTTAAGCCACCTAGGTATTACAAAACAACTGTTCCAGGAAACCTAAAGTGCCCTTTAAACTTTCCTCCAGCCCAATTTCCTGTGACTGGATCAGTGGTAACACCACACAGGGCAGTGAGGGTTTCTATCAAGACCTATCTGCACTCAGAAATCAAGATAAACCCAGAACAACCAGCCTGATTGTAATGACATTTTCCAAATCAAGGAGCTCATCTTCATAATAGGAGACTCAGATAAAGTCTGGAAAGGAGATGGGGTTGAAATACAAACCCCTTTTGAATTAGGAGACAACCCAGAGCTAGAGGGAAAACAAAAAACAATTTTCAGTGATGGAGCAAATGCTGCCTCAGCTTTACCATTGCCTGCAGAAGTCCCCTATCACAAAGGTCACTGGCATCTTTATTTGTCATTTATAGCATGCACTGTGCCAACTACTTCCCAAACCAAAGCAACATGCTGACACAGCAATACCATGCTCGGCAGTACACCATGCTGCTGCAATCAGAAGGGGGTTTAATAAATATAATTTTAAAAAAAAATGCTAAGCAACTGCAGAATTAAGTGTGTGGAGTGTTCAAGGGAGATAGGAGCTCAAGTCTTAACATCTCATGGCAGAACATCATCAGATACTGCTAAGCCTTAACTATAGTGCGGAAATCCTATGGGGCACTTAACATTTGCTCCCTCCTGTCTAATCTTTCCCCTTACGGAGTCACTCAGCGCTACCCAAGGCTAACCACAATGTATTTAGCAGGCATAGATTTGAAAAAAAAAAAATCAGAGACAGGAAGCAGAGCTTTAGAAGAGACATGGGAGGAGGTAGAAAGTGAGAGAGGAGCATGCAGCGATACTACGCTCCTGCTGCTTGAAGCAAAGTTGGCTTTATCACAGTGCTGGCTGTACAACCAGGGCCACCCAATTTGGGGTGTGTAATGGGTAGAAGCAGGATGTGATAGGTCTGAGCATATGTCCAAGCAGCCCACCCATGGCTGATACGTGCCTAGAGGAACACAGAGACATCCCAGGTGGAGTGGGCCCATCAAGCCACAGGCACAAAAAGCGTCTTTCAAAGGGATAAGGACAGCAGTGGGTGTTGTGCTGCAAACCCTTTCCAAAGCTGCTGCCAGTTGTGTTGATAGATCACTTTTTGATCTGAAGGTCAATGAAGTTCTCATTTTATAAAGACACTTGGGTCTCCTAGAGAGGCCCTCTGATAATTGGGCCATCAAGGGCATTGTTTAAGCTAGAGACACTTGGAGTAGTCCTCTGGAATGGCTGATGAGTGGCAACATGGAAAGCTCTTGGAGCTTTTCCAGCTCTTCTCCTCCCAAAAGTCCACCTTTCCCCTTGGCCAGTGCTAATGGAAGCAACCAATTCAGCCATTGCATGAGCTGAGTGCTCATTTGTGTGTGTGGACAGTCAAGCAGTTGTCCCTTCACAACAATTCATGAAATGATTTTTGAAAGAAGAATTGTATTGCAAACATCCCAATTCATCTTTCATTCTTCCACAATGACCTTCCACTCCCTAGGTGGAAGAAATTCCTTTTGCTTTTTATATCATTTGCTCTCAAACAATTATGAAAAGACCAAAAAAGCACCCTAACAATTAAACTTCAGAAGCTCAACTTTCACCAGACAAAAATATCTTTCCATCAACACCAACCTCCAAAGCGGTCAGGGAAAAAGAAAATATCAGCTTTGGGTATTTATTGTACTTATAACTGGAACTGAGACAAACTGAAGGATCACCAAGATAAGGCATTACTGTTCCCTGCATGCCAATTCTGCCCTTTTGCACATTTATGTAACTCATGCAAAAAACATAATTTGGAAAAGGAACAAGAGTATTAGAGAATTATCAAACTCCTAGAACAAAGCACAGTTCTTGAAATAACCCCCTCTAAATTGGCCTTTTCAATTCAACTCAACATTTGCCTGCAAAGAATGACTTTCTGACAGCAGTATCACCGGGTTCCTCCTTCCTCCAGCATTAGTGACATGCGAGGGAGGAGAAGAGAAAGGGCTTACTCCTGGGCTGCTAAATTCTAGTGACGGTTTTGCAAGGCTGGTAAAAACCCTCCTGAAGACTTGCAGCGCAATGAACTCAGTTTGGGATCTCCGCTCTCTCTGCACCACGGGCATCCCAGCAAAAGTCACATTTTAGTAGTTCTTTCTCTTCCCAAGGCCAGCTGACTTCAAGCCAGGCTACAAACCAGGTGCTGTGTTTCACTGCAAGCTCTAGGATAAACTATAGTCTTCCTGCAAATGAAGATTAGTTCCATGAAAAAGGTATCCATGTTCCCCCACTTGGACAACTTCACCTTTAATCATCATTTCAGTGAAACAATTAGTAGCATCTGTGCATTAGGAAAGGGAGACAGCTAGGAGTTATCAGATACGTTCACCACGAGAGCCCTTTTCAATGGGAAAAAAGCAGTAACAACCAGACACAAACCAGATAGGAAGGACCCACCAGCATGGTTTGGGCCATCCTCAGAGAGTCTCAGACCAACCAGTGCACTGGCTTACCTCAGTATGACATCAGCTTGGACTCCGTACATCTTCTGCTCCACTGCTTTCTGGAACGACATCAGAGTGTTTTCTGGTGCCAACTATGGGGGGGAGGGGGAAAGAGCAATTGGTGATTAGTAGTAAGTGGAAAAGTTTACGAAGCAGTGTCAGCGAGGATGCTGGGAGGAAGGTTTAGAGCTATTAGGGAGCCAAAACAATCTTGTTTTGCAGATTATGTAGTGGGCATTTACACTGGAGTACCAGCATCTTACTGAAGTCTAAAGATGACCAATACATTTGACTCCACTGACGGTCTTTCACACACAGGACAGAGCCCAATGCAGAGTTATCATGACCTGCAATACCAGAAACTCAGCTAGCTCGAGGTCTGGTGCAAAATTAGTGTGCGAGAGATTTGCTGGAGATCCTCAGAAAGTGGTTGTTAATGTGATGCCAATTCTCTATCCACAGGTTATATCTAGAGCTATCTGAAACACGTTAACAGTCCTTCATTCTCCTACTTTCCTATGCAAACAGTGATTACAATGTCATTACAGAAAGAAGAAACTCCATAAACCAGGGTATTGCCCATACCACAGAGAACAACTAGACAACAGGTTCTATAGCACATATTTTATTTCAGCATCTACTAATTCAATAAAGTCATCTATTAGTCTAAAAATCAGATGATTTATCTAATAACAAATGGTCTAGGTAGTTTTAACAACAATTAAAAAATAGCCTTAAGCCTAGGAAACTTATCCCTATGGCTATCACAGATAAGGACTCAAATTTTATTTCAAATTCCTTCCTGTTGAATGGAGAAGATGGTAACAGAATTCAGGTTTGTTTAAAAGCAATACAATGTGAAGACAAATACTTGTTCTTCTAAACCAGTACAGTACAGCTAGGCCCAAAATGTCCATAAACCAACAACAGGCAGACAAGGAAAAAATAGACAGCTATGGACAGAAAAACTGGCAGGTTTTCTGCACTGAAACACAAACACATCAAACTAAAGCTATTTTTAAAAATAATTTTCTTTTTTCCAATTTTGCTTTCAGGTTTAGAGCACCTGTAGCATCCTGTTTTTCTACTCAGCTCTGCCACCACCAGGATCAGTAAGTTTCCATCAGGACACAAGGAGCATACACAACTCATGATTTTCAAGAATTACTCAGGGTTTGGAGAGAGGAATGGTTAAGAGCAAAGGCCTAAACGCACCATGCAAGCAACATGCACAATACATACAAAAAACTGGTCAAGATTTTAAGGTGTCTCAGAATTATTTGTTTTCTTATTAGCTGATGACCTTACACTCTCAGGTCAGCAAAGCTTTGGTGTAAAACAATCAGACTAAATGTCAGCAACCACCTTCACATAGCTCTGGTATCTCTCTATTGAATTCCTCTGGCTCAAGCCACACATCAGTATTAGTTCATTTTTTTCTTTTTTTCAACAAAGGCAACACAGAGTCATGTTATCTTCCTAAAAAAGCTCCCAATCAAAGCCTGACTTGTCTAGAAGACACAGGCAACACCCCCCCATCACACCCTCTTGGACGCTGGGTCATGCAAGGTGGAGCTGAAAGAGCTTTTTGCAACATATTCACGATGCCCAGAGCTGTCAGCAGGGAGCAGCAGCCACATAAAGATCTAGAGATCCCATCCAGGCAGACCTGCTCCATTTCCTAGTGTCGCTTTCAGCATCTGGGGTTTCCGCTCTAAGTAGCTCAGGTTTCCTCAGGATAACACTGCAAGGCAATCCTCTCTCTGCAGGGTAATACTCAGTATTTGCTTTCAGAGACTGCGGCAATTACAAGGAAATAAAGTGTGTGGTGTTCAAACTAGAGACACCAGAACTAGAGAAACCAAAGGGTGATGTAAGACCACCAGCCTGAGTCAGGAAGGGTTGCCGGGTGGATGCAATGCAAGTGCCAGCTCAAGATGTGACATCACATCAAGCAGCAACTGAACCCACGCCCCTATAAGCGATCTCGCTAGAGATGCGGACGTACAAGGAATAGAAAAGCAAAAGCATGTCGAGTTGTAAGTCATCTCTTAGGCCAAAGGGAGACTGGAAAGAGCAGGTTGGACTACCTCCACTAAGTAATCAACATAAAACCCGACGACAAAGGTAGGATGACGCTGCTCTTACTCACCTACACAATGAAGGGTTCATATTGCACGGATCAGGGCTAATGAAGGCAAACAAGTGTGGCTACAACAGTGTTCTACCTCTGTAGAGGTGGACCAGCATGACTAAGGTCTTCCCATGTCTTACCTGTACACTGAGCTCTGGCACAGCAGAATCCTAAGCCAGAGAGGACACAGGCTCTGCTGTTTGATAATGAGATTAAAAGGCTTCCTGCCTCTTTGCAGTGTATTTCAGTTCTGCAGGGGCAGGGTCAAGCCTTGCTTGGACACCAGCCCTCCTGAGATGCAGTTGGTTCGAGACAAAGAGGAAGCCTTAACTTTAGGTTAAGGAGCAGGAGTCCCAGCCTTCACTGCTGGAGGTGTTGGAAGGAAACACAGAGCCAAACAGATTTGAGGCAGCAAGTTAATACGCAAGAGCCTCTCTATTACCTGGACTGGAGAAAAGTAAATTTAGACAGAGCTGAGACCACACGCAGAGGTGACAGATGAAAGCCAAACAGGCAAGGAGCCTTTTGGAGATGGGATTTCTGTTTGCCAGACTGGACAAATTTGGCCATGTAAAGATTAATAGTGAAGTTCATGCATCTTAGGGGCAGTGCTAAAATATGGGTTGCAGTGCTAAACCCTGAGATTTTCTTTGAGTTTTAAAACTCATTGCACTGTGACTGTCCCATCCTCAGCACTCAGACAGATGCCACTGAGCTTAACCCCATGGAGAGACAAACTCAGCCCCAGGAGTGGAATATCCCACTCCTGCCTCATCTCTAGCCCCTACAGACCGCGCTTTACCCTTCAAGAAGGTCAAAACTTAAATGGACTCCACCAGGGCAGCACGTGGCTGCTCAGATACAAGGCACATCCATTCCTTTCCCAGGAACTTGATCCCAAACACAAGTTAAATAAACTTACAAAACTCTGGCCAAATCTGTGTCGAAAACTGCAGCTGTGAAGAGGAAGCAGCATTTTAAAACTCTTCTAAGGACAGGCTGGCACTTTAAGGTCCAACCACCCAAATACACACTTACGAACAGTAACATCATTTTTATCACAACACCACTAGAAGTGAAGAGCATCCTCTTGAAGAGCATCACAGATGGATGAACATCTCTGGCTGCTCTGAATCAGCAAACAGCACGGACGTCAGCAGAAATGCTCTCCGTAACACCATGCCCCACGATGGTACGTGCTGGGTTGTCTCTATAATGCCACAATGCTATTACTTGACAGCCCAATTCCCTCTGTCAGTAGCTTTTGAAAAGTAGATTACCTTCCAGGCAAAGACATCATCTCCTTGTGAGCATGTGGTGGGTAAGCTCCTAACCTGGCCAGAGCTAGTCACCCTGATATAAATAATTGCATCTCCAAACGAGCTCATCATCAATGCAGAAAGCTGTACTCCCTGGTTTCTAAACCTCACGGTCAATCCTAGCCTTGAGGGGACTGAGCAGGTCACTCACACCAAAGGCATAACCTGGTAAAGGTCAACCAGAAAGCCAGGAAAGCAAATTTAACCCTGTCCCCTAAAATCAGATGCTGCCTATTCCTGGAGATTCCCCTGGCACCGCTTTGGAGGCAGGATCTCTCTGTACCAGTTTATATCCCTTACAATGCAAGTTTTTTTATGCAAAGAGAGAATCTGAGTAACAGGTATTGCTATCATCCCAGCCTGTCTCTGTCTCCCTCCAAGAAAGATGGAGCTGAGCCCCAAATTCAACACACTTAGGGCAGAGATGCACCCAAGTGGGACAGTTGCTGGTATGGAAATTACTTGCTGGGATTAGTACTGATTTTTTTTAAAAGGTTTTACAGCAAAACTGCAATAACTAAATAAATGCATAATCTTTCTGCTTGTATCTCTCTCTGTATCCCTCCAGTTTCTTTGATGGGTTTTCTTCCTTGATACAATAGATTCTGGCATGTTACGCCTAAAACCCAAATCCAGATTTGCAGTGATCCAGTGCAACCGGACACAACCAGTTTCTTAAGAAACCAGTGATGAAGTGAAGGAAGCCCTGGGACACAAAGCATTGATTTGTGAAGGAAGCCCTGGGATACAAAGCATTGATTTGTCTCCAAAATTTCTGTCCTGTATAAATCACGCAAGCATTCACTGAAAGCCACAGGCAGACCTTGTGCACGGTTTCTAGAAGCTGTTCTTTCTCTTCACACTTGGTTTGATAGGCTCATCCCTTGCAAAAATCAGGCTACTATTCATTTCTTCCTGCTGCAGAGACGCAGCAAGTAAATTTCTAGAAAATTGCCCATGGATGAATTCATTTTGACTATTTTTGTGCTCAGAAGTCAATTGTATATGCTTTCAAATTTAGTCAAGAGCTTTGGACCTTCCTTAATGAAGGTTATGAAAGCATGCTAGTTAGAGCAGCATAGCCTTGCTACAGTTGGACATCACTACGCTGTATTTTTCCCCTAATTAGCCACCTTGCCAGGCCTTCAAAAAAAAAATAAAAATCACTGCATCATTTGCATGTTAGGGAGGTTAACGAAGATGCTCGCACAGCACTTGTTCCAAAGTGTAACTGCAATCACTGCATTCCGGCATTGTGCGCTGAGCTGCACTAAAGGATTTGATCTTTGCTTCATCGACAAGCTTTAAGGATGTTTTCTCATCCTTTTGGAAATATGAGCATAATTTTACAATGTTTTTGAATTTTCCCTCCCTTATGTCTCCTTCCCAGTATCAATCTCCTCATGAGCCAATAATTGGACAAAAAACATAAGGCACGATTAGGGTGATACCTGGAAAATGGTATTTTCCTTCGTGTAAAAAGATGCCCTTTAGAAGTTCCCTGCACAGGACTTAGTGTGGGATCTGCCAGTACGTTGATTTCAGCATTAGCGTCCCATCATGCCAGGTCGCTATGAGGCAATAAAGATACTGTTTAAAAAATAAAATATATCTTTAATCCCTAGGAATTCTAAGTATT